GTAGAACATTACAAGAAAAAACATCCAACCCCATCAAAAATATGGGGAGAAGAAATACACAGAAACTTTCTCAAAGAAGAAATTCAAATGGCTAGAGGTCACATGAAAAAAATGCTCAACATCACCAATCATGAGTGAGCTGCAAATCAAAACATCAATGACATATCATCTTACCCCACAGAGACTGGCATGCACACAAAAGAACAAGAACAATCAGTGCTGGCATGGATATGGGAAGAAATGGACTCTTTAAAATCCATTTTGGCTTGAACTTTTATGTATGGCATAAGATATCTGTCCAGTTTTATTTGTTCTTGTGTACTTAGCCAGTTTTTATAACCTCATTTGTTGATTAACAATCTACTTGTTCCTTTAGTATATGTTAGCTGTCCATATATATGAGAATTATCTTCTAGGTTATCAATTATATTCAATTGGTTCTGATATTCTGCTTCACAGATCACACAGATTATCCTGTTATTCGTCGATTCCCTCGAGCAGGCCCTAGTAACGTCTCCTTCATCCTAGCCCTGAGATTATATTCAAGGCTCTTTAGGAGAGTGAGACCCATCATTGTTACTGGTATTTGGCATATTGGGTACGCCATGGGGAGTTTGCCAGACTCTGCCGTGTGGGCAGGCTACATTCGATAGCCTGCCAGTTTGTCAAAGTAGGAATGAGATGTCATAATAAGATGTCGCGCGACCACAAATGCGGCTGCGCGGTTCCGGGAGCTTGTTTTATAGTCTCTGAGTCTTGGCTGCTGATGGGATTACACGGCGCCAGGGGGCCAGTTGGTGGGTGTGACCCCCGCCTACTGGAATTTGGAGGATCTGGGTGGAGGATGCTTGACTCCAATCTGAGTAGGCTTGGAGATCTCGGCCCCAGAACCTACGTGGCTTTGTCCCTCTGCCGGTACCTTCAGGTGTGCGGAGAGTGGTCTTAGCATGGTGGTGGCTGGTCCTGGAGGTCTTTGGCTGCCGGGGCCCTGATCAGGGCGGGGAGGAAAGCTCAACCTGCTCCCCTTCAAGGGGCCCTGGCGAGGAATAGCCAGGCACGGGGGCAGGAGACTGCACTGTTCTCCCTCCGGGAGCTGGTTTTTATAGTCTCTGAGTCTTGGCCACTGATGGGATTACACGGCGCCAGGGGGCCAGTTGGTGGGTGTGACCCCTGCGATATTCTGCTTATAATATATAATACCACACTATAACTACAGAATTTGTTAATGCTCTTGTGCTCCCTTTTGGAAATATTTTCTTCCATGTGTAGAATAACCTTGGTTTGTCCTTTCCCCCTTGCCACAGTGAGCTTGGGTTTATTGGGTTACACCCATCACGGTGCTCCTGAGTCACTCCCATTCCTCTGGGCTTATCTGTAACTTCTCTGTGCTCTCTTCCCTAGCCAGTATTTCAGCTTTTCCCCCTAATCAGATTCTGTTAACTTGTAAGATCAGATCCTTCTAAGGACATTGAACTTGTGTTATAAGTTAATGCCTTTCTCTTTTCCTTATATATTTTGAATAGTTTATTTTAAAGCTAGAGCAGGCCCAGTAACATCTCCATTGGAGACTTTGTTGTTACTGTGTCTGGCATATCGAATACGTCACGGGGAGCTTGCCAGGCTCTGCCTTGCAGGCGAGTTACTCTCGGTAGCTTGCCGGGCTCTCCGAGAGGGGCAGAGGAATCGAACTCGGGTCAGCCATGTTGGCTGCCTGCAAGGCAAACGCCCTACCAGCTGGAGTGATGGTAGGGCGTTTGCCTTGCACGCAGCCAACATGGCCGACCCGACTTCGATTCTTCTGCCCCTCTTGGAGGGCCCGGCAAGCTACCGAGAGTATCTCGCCCACACGGCAGAGCCTGGCAAGCTCCTGCCAAGCTCCCCGTGATGTATTCGATATGCCAAACATAATAACAACAAAGTCTCCAATGGAGACGTTACTGGGCCTGCTCGAGCAATTCGATGATCAACGGGAGGGCCTTACTTTACTTTACTTTACTTTACTTTAAAGCAATATCCTTTTTGTATGGACAAAAGAAGACAGTTGAAATTATGCTTTTCAAGTGTGGGAGTTAATTGACTCCAAACAAAACTTACTCCAAGGCATCTGCTTCCTCAATTTAAGCCTCAGTTGCCCTTAGTTCCTAGCACCCCAACAGCAGGATCCTGATGAGGGACTGAATGGACTTAGGGCTAGCTCTGAGCTACCCTGGCATCATAATGGGCCAGGCCAAAGTGCCACAATACTCAACTATAAGTTGAGAGCATGGTCATGGACAAATCCTGTCATGATCCAAAAGTAACAATGAGATTAGGACCCTGCTAGGGATCACTTAATCACTTAACTTCCCATTAATCGTCGATTTGCTCGAGCAGGCGCCAGTAACGTCTCCATTTGTCTCTGTCGCGTGCTAGTGTAGCCCAATGGCATCTGTTCACTCTGGGAACATGAAGATCCTCAAACCGATCATTCATGATCTTGATGAAGAAGTCTGACCATCTGGTAGGTGGGCGGTCACGCAGTCTTTTGACATCCTGTGGGATCCAGTCAGTAACAGCTCTAGTCCAGCGGTCATCTTTAAATTTCATTACATGACCAGCCCATCTGATTTTTGATACCTTGACAAATGAGACAGCGTCCCTGATTCTTGATTGTCGACGGATGTCAGAACTCCGGATTCTTTCTCTCATTTGAGCGAAACGTGATATTCCAAGCATAGCTCTTTCAATTCTTCTTTGGGAGACCTGAATAGCGTTCTCATCCTGTTTGCATAGGGCCCAGGTCTCTGAGGCATATGTTAATGCAGGAAGAACAGTGGAATCAAAGAGATGTGCCCGGAGTTGGAGGTTCTTCGTCCTCTTAGCTATTTCTTTGACGCTCTTGAAGGCTTTCCAAGCCGCTCTCTTCCTCCTGCGCAGCTCGGGTGCCAGGTCATTTGTCATGTTGACCTCTCGACCTAGGTACACATAGCTGTTGCATTCGGAGATGGTCGTTCCATTGAGAGCGAAAGGGGTGTCAGGAACGAGGCTGTTTCTCATAAACATTGTCTTCGTAAGATTCAGCTGCAGTCCGACCTTTCCACACTCACGGTCAAAGTCGGCCAGCATTTGTGCCGCTTGGCTGATGTTTGGTGTTATTAAAACAATGTCATCAGCAAAGCGGAGGTGGTGTAGTTGCCGACCATCTATCTTCACTCCCATTCCTTCCCATTCCAGTCGTTGCATGATGTTCTCGAGAGTGGCACTGAAGAGTTTCGGTGAAATGGTATCACCCTGCCAAACCCCTCTCTTGATATGGATAATTACTTCTTTGTAGAATGGTGAGATCCTGGTAGTGAATCCACGATACAGCTCACGGAGGATCTTGATGTGTTGAGCTTGAATGCCCTGATTGGCTAGGGCTTCAATGACCACTTCCGTCTCAACAGAATCAAAGGCCTTCTTTAAATCAATGAACATTAGACAGAGCGGCATCTTGAACTCCCGAGAAACCTCAATGAGCTTGGTTATCGTGTGGATATGGTCGATGGTGCTGAATCCTTTGCAGAACCCAGCTTGCTCGCATGGTTGTCCTTCATCTAGTGTTCTGCCAATCCTATTTAGGATGATTCACGTGACCAACCTGTAGATGACAGACAATAGGCAGATCGGGCGATAGTTGCCAATGTCATGGATGTCTCCCTTCTTGAATAGTAGTACGGTCCTGCTGGTTTTCCACTGAGACAGAACCTTGCATTCAGACTAATCTAGGGATAGGAAAGACTAATCTGGCCTGAGCACTGTAGTCTGAGATCGAGATGGCCCCAGGAGAGCAATTCTATAAGCTTAATGTATCTCTTACTTTGTCCATACAAAATGATTAGTATTATTAATGACTATATGTTTGTTGGACAAGGAGAAGAGAAACACACCATGGAATTCTGCTCTTGGGTGGGTTATCTTACCGAACAAGTATCTGTCCTAGAAGCAGCTTTTTTTGATGGAAGGACTTTACCTCTGTTGATAGTATGACCACACCTATGTGTAAACCCCAGCCCCTCATAATTTGGAATTTAACTGGGGAACCAGAAGGAGGATGAAGGGAGATCCAGAAAGAAAATGAAGTAGCATGGGGGAGAAAGAATCAGGAAGAGAATCAGAGGAGGAGAGAGGAATGGAATAAACTGTAATTGACACCTATCAACCTGGCCCTCTTTCCTTTCTTTGCCTGCCCATCACCATCGGCCTCCTTGGGGTTGGTTAAGCAATGTGAGATTAACTAATGCAGTTGGTGAAGAGAGCTGCGCACCGCGTAATTTTTCTTTAGTAAATACAAACTATGTATATTTTCATTGAACATGAACTGAAGATCAGAGTCTCTCTTTGCCCTAGAATTCTTATGCCTAAACTGGAAGTCAAAGATGAACACATATGAGCTCCTTAATTTGTGTGTTGGGGACAGTTCTGTAGACTCTTTGTCCTTTCCTCTTTGTTCTTGCATGTGTCTTCTGCTCCTTTTGAAAGCAAAAAGACTACAAAATTCACAGTATAACATAGTCCTTTAATTTAATTTAATTTACTTAGCCGTCATAATGTTCTTATTTAGTAAATTCGGAATATGTGCTGTTCAAAACAAACAAACACTGCCCTCCCATTGTTCTTCTATTTGCTCTAGTGGGCCCAGTAATGTCTCCATTGTGAGACTTGTTGTTACTGTGTTTGGCATATTGAATACATCACTTGAGCTTGTCAGGCTTTGCTGTGTGGGCAAGATACTCTCGGTAGCTTGCCAGGCTCTCTGAGAGGGGTGGAGGAATCAAACCCGGCTGGGCCAGGCTGGCTGCGCGCAAGGCAAACACCCTACTGCTGTGCTATCGCTCCAGCCTTGTACTGTTCAAGTATTAAAAAATTAACCCACGATCATAAAAAAATCAAAGAATTACCCCCAGCAAAGAACTTTTATGTAAAAAAACTTACCAAGGATATAAGAAAACTAATACTGCTTCCTCTTTCTTTCATTACAGATGGTCCTCCTGTGAAAACCCCACCCAACCATGGTGGCCAGCTGCTTCTGGAACAGATGGCTGCCCTCTTTATAAAGAGGTTGCTTCGTACTCTTCGGGCCTGGAAATGGACTCTTTCCAACCTAATGTTGCCAGTCCTCTTTGTAGCCTTGGCCATGGGCCTGTTTATGGTGAGGCCTGTAGCCATTGAATACCCGCCCCTCAAACTAACACCTGGCCATTACGAAAGCACTGAAAGCTACTTTTTCAGGTAAAGTTCTTTGTTTTATTTCATCAGAATTTTGTCTGGATGATGATGAATTGCAATTACTTTGATACTTAAATCTTTCCTGGTAAGCATTTTAAATGTACTCATTTTTATTATTTTGGGGATGTGCTATGTTCACTTGCATAAAATTTCAGATGCTACCCCTTCTTGAGGGGCTTGTATTATGGAAGATGCTTAGGATGATGGGGCATAACTGGTCCTCAGTATCCCTGGTAACTTGATTCTAGAAGTCCCGGGGTCACCTTCTACAATTGACGAAGGAGGACATGGTCCTAATGGCTGAGGACCAAGTTCACACTAGTTAATAGTGGTTTATTAGAAAAAGGGAAAACTAAAGATAATTCAGGATTGCAGGAAAGTATATAAATGTATATTTCACAAATATCTCCAGGGTTACTTTTGGGATGTGTCCAAACCTAAATTAAAGTCTCTTTCTCCCAGTATCTGTGTCAGAACTGGTTGTTGTTCTTTTTGATGTCTGCCAATCTCTTTCATGTGAGATGATATCTCATTGTTCTTTGATTTACATCTCCCTTATGATTTTTCTCCTTTATCAATGATTAAGTGGTAATATATCTGAGGGTCTTCAACTCCATTTCATTGGTCTGCAGATCAATCTTTATTCCAGTACCATGCCATTTGAATTACTAGTCTTTGTAGTACAATTTGAAGCTGGGGAAGGTGATGCCTTCCATCTTCTTTTTCCCAAGGATGCTTTAGCTATTCATGGGAGTTTATTATTTGAAATGAACTTCAGTAGTGTTTGATCTATTTCTTTGAGAAATGTCATAGGTATCCTTATAGGGACTACTTTGAATCTGTATAATACTTGGGGAGGTATTGCCATTTTGACAATGTTAATTCTCACATTCCATGTATTGGCAATATGTTTCCATTTCCTTTTATTCTCTTTTATTTCTTGCAGTAGCGTTTTGTAGTTTTGTCTTTTACCTCTTTAGTTAAGCTGATTCCAGTGCACTTGGTATTCTGAGGCATAATTGTGAACAGGATTGTTTTTCAAATATGTTTCTTGTTCTTCCCTAAGTTCTATGGCATGTACTTCCAGTGCTATATTGAACAACAGTGGTGAGAGTGGACAACCTTGTCTTGTGCCTGATCCTAGAGGGAAAGCTTTTATTTTTCTCCATTTAAAATAATTCTTGCTCTGTGCTTATTTGAACATAGCTATTATGCAAAATTCATGATTCAGCTATCCACTAGGACAGTGTTAGATAAACATTCAATGCTCAAATTTGTTAAGGACAACATTAGATTCTTATATTTATTAAGATAATTTATTTAATTAGCTAGATTGTCAGTGCTTTTTAAATGTTTAACTTCTACAGTAGATTTATAATTAAAATATGGGTGCTAAATGATAAATCAATAATAAACATCAGTTTGTCTTTTGGTTATTAATGTTTTTCCTCTTCCGTCTTTATGTGCATGTCTTTATGCTTCTTGAGGTCAGGGTTTAATTAAAAAAGACAGTTTGATGTTAAAAGTGAACTATGCCCCACGTTTCTTTTTTCTTCTGGCATCTGTATCTTTTCAGGCATTTTTAATTCAACTTTTTAATGACTTTGTATTTGGACCAACGAGTCCAGTGGAGGCTAAGGTTAACTTTGTATGGAAGGGGCCAGAGACAGTACAGCATAGAAGTTTCCTTCCTTGCATGCAGCCACCCTTGGATCAATCCCTGACACCCCTTATAATGCCCTGGGCACCTCCATAAGTAATCCTTGTAGGTAGAATCAGGAGTAAACCCTGAACATTGCCATGTGTGTCCTAACTGCCCCCACAGCCTGCAAAAATTTGCATGAGAACTTTCTGTTAACTGATGCTGTGCCTGATGGGGTTAGCATTTCTACATCTCTAATTCCTGTGTATTCTGTATTTGATTTTCAAATTACTTTCACCTGTTTCCTGGGTCTGCAGTGAGGTTGTATCAGTAACTCTCAAAGAGCCCAAGAGATACTGGCTAGTTTCTTTAAAGAGGGAGAAAAAATATAGCTTGGGAAAAGCAGTTTGGATGGGTTAATGGTTCTTTCCTCAGTTTCCTCCTTTTTTTCCCTCTAACTTTTTCTGTTTTTTTTTTTTTTTAATCAGTCTGTATTAGAATCATCAAAGGGGCTCTTAGTAGCAATAGGAAACCTCTTTGGGATATGTTTAGAAATATGTCTTTATACTGAACATTAAAATTTGAGAATAGTCTTTTTTGGAGATAAATAAAAAGTGTATCCATTTAGAAACTCTTTCAGGCATCACAACAATCACGGATTTTGATTTCTTTTGTTTGACAAGGACCAGGTTTGAATGCTTTTGTGACCACTTCATAATAGAGCCGAAAGATTGAAGATATTGTCAAAATAAAAGTATAAGAGCAAACATTTAAATTTTATGGAAATGAAAAATTTAAAGCCTTTACAATAAATTATATCCTATTGATATAATAAATAAATGGCAAAATGTAAACTATATTTTTTAAACATACAGCTAATATTCCCCCCTTGGCGATCAATGGGGTGACAGATGTCGCAGCTAATATTCCAAATAAGCTACTTTAGAAATCATTTTTTCTATAAAATATTTTGAGCTATCAGTTTTATTTTTGGATCAATGAGTCAAAGAGAGGCATTTAATAATATTTCCAAAGATGTCACAAAATAGTGTTTCTTCAATTGGCACTTTCAGCCACTGTCTAACTGAGCCATAACAGAGAATTCAAAGCAAACACTAAAAAGACAAACACACATGGACTGTCCAGCTTTGTGCTCTCACAGGTCATTTATTCAACACAACATTGTTCCTCCACCACTCCCAAAGAAACGTGACCAATAGGTGAGCCACTGTTGACAGAAACATGAAGGACACTTAGCACTTCAGCATTCTAGAGGTACATGAAGAGCAGGTGGAGTATTTCATACAGTTAACAGAAAACACCCTTAAAATATAAAGACCTGGAAGATTCCTTTCTATTTTTGCCCATGCTACCTCTACATCTAAAGCATTCTAAATGGTTTTATTCAATGCTTGCCTGGATGGCAAATATTTGTTCTCTATTCTATTCTTAGTTCAAGATGCCGCTCTGTCTAACGTTTATTTATTTAAAGAAGGCCTTTGATTCTGTTGAGACGGAAGCGGTCATCGAATTCCTAGCAAAACAGGGCATGCAAACTCAATACATCAGGATCCTCTGTGAGCTGTATTACAGATTCACTACCAGGATCTCACCATTGTACAAGGAAGTGATCATCCATGTCAAGAGAGCGGTTCGACAGTGTGATACCATCTCACCAAAACTCTTCAGTACCTCCCTTGAGAACATCATGCAATGACTGGGATGGGAAGGAATGGGAGTGAAGATAGATGGTCGGCAACAACACCACCTTCGCTGATGACATCATTCCAATAATACCAAATATTAGCCAAGTGGCACAAATGCTGGCTGACTTCAACCGTGAGTGTAGAAAGGTCGGACTACAGCTGAATGTCACAAAGACAATATTCATAAGAAATGGGCTTGTTCCTCACCCTCCATTAGATGGAATGTACATCTCTGAATGCAGAAGTTATGTGTACCACCTAGGTCGAGAACTCAACATGACGAATGAGCTGGTACCTGAGATGCACAGGGGGAAGAGAGTGGCTTGGAACGCTTTCAAGAGCATCGAAGAATTAGCTAAGAGGACAAAGAGCCTCTGGCTCTGGGCACATCTCTTCGATTCCACTGTTATTCCTGCATTAACATACACCTCAGAGGCCTGGGCCCTACAAAAATAGGATGAGAATGCTATTGGGGTCTCCCAAAGAGGAATTGAAAGAACTATCTCAGAGTATCACGCTTCACTCAAGTGAGAGAAAGAATCCGGAGTTCCAACCTTTGTCAAAGATCGAGAATCAGGGATGCTGTCTCGTTTGCCAAGGTGTCAAAAATCAGATGGGCTGGACACGTATTGTGATTTGGAGACAACCGCTGGACTAGAGCTATTACCTACTGGATTCCGTGGGACATCAAAAGATCGCATGGCCACCCAACTACGGGATGGTCAGACTTCTTTGTCAAGACCCTGAATGATCGATTTGAGGTTCTTCATGTTTCTGGATTGAGCAGATGCCATTGGGCTACACTAGCATGTGACAGGAATGAATGGAGACATTACTGGTGCCTGCTTGAGCAAATCGATGAGTAAGGGGATGTCAAGTGATCAAGTGATCAAGTGATTCTATTCTTACCTACTATTTTATTCTATACTGGTTTATTCTATTCTATATTTTATTCTATAGGTTTGCAAACCCTTTAAATCCTAATAGTTAAACTATTTTACCTACAGACATATCCCATCCTTGTTTTATTTTTTTTAGTTTCTTGGGGAAAAACTTTCACATCTCTCCCATTTTTATTTTTTAAATGTGCTATTAATATTATGAGTATACTGCCTGCTCCAGCTGGGTTTTCCAATGGCTAATGATGATGTTGGCTTTTGGGAATAATCCCCTCTGGGGGATGGCAGTGCCATCTCCATACCTGGTACAGGATGTTGAGATGTTGATGCAGCAACACATTATCAGTATAATTAACCTTCTAGTTGTTGCAGGAATCCAGTTTTTAATGGTATTTCAAAATTCCAGGTTTATGGGATTAAGGTTATTCCAGCACTCCTTCATTTCTTGTTGATAATTAATTATTTGTTGAAGTAATAAAAAATTGACTGCTTATTGTTTTGGACATTTTTGGGTGGAATGCTATGCATAAGTGGTCTTCTACTTAACTCCAAGGTACTGAGGATTATAAGGAAGTGCAGTCATGCGCATGTACGTAAAAGTAGAGTTGCAGAAAAGTCTAAATTGATCTCTCAAAGCCTCTTGCTGTAGCCTATGGACTTTTCTGACCAGTGCTTCCAGCAGGGTTGTGATTATGTTTTCCTTGTCAATGCAAGCTTGAGTTAATGGCTCTTTGGTAATGTTTTGTAAATTTTGAT